TTTTTTCAATGTCATCCTTGTGCATCCGGATTTGGTGATACCCGGATCGCAAGTCTAGCTTTGTGAAGAACCTCGCCCCGTGGAGCTCGTCCAACAATTCCTCGATGATAGGAATTGGAAATTTGTCCTTCACTGTCACCTTATTCAATCCCCTATAGTCAATGCAGAATCGCCATGTCCCATCATGCTTTCTTACCAGCAGCACCGGGGATGAATATGCGCTACGGCTTGGCTGGATCAGTCCTTGAGCCAACATGTCGGTTACCATCCTCTCGATTTCCTGTTTTTGGAAATAAGGATATCGGTAGGGTCGCATGTACACCGGTTTGCTACCGGCCTCCAACACAATTCTATGGTCATGTGGCCTCACGGGAGGTACTCCTACTGTGTTTGCAAAGACTGCCGGGAAGAGTTTCTCCCATTCGTCCCATCTACCTTATTATCCTCCATCGATGTCCCTTCGTCACTCATCTTCAAGTAAAAAAGAACACTCTCCTCACCGCCTTGTTGAGCACTCTTGAGTAAGGTGCTCCCTCTCACTGCCCTCACCTCTGAACCAAGCCCACCTGTTAACAAGACTCGTTTATCCCCAACATGAAACGCCATTGTTTGTCTGGCAAAATCCCACTCGATCTTACCCAGCGGTTTGAACCATTCCGCCCCTAAAATGGCATCAATACCTTCCATCTCTAGTAGATAAAAATCAATGGTGAACTCCTCTTTTCCCAACCATATGTCTACCCCCTTACAAAAACCCAAAATGGCCAAAACGTTGTCCATTAGTGAGAACAATCTGTTTTCCCTTTTTCTTTTCAATGGGCACCCCCACCTCCCCACTAAACCTCTCGTGTAAAAAATTGTGGGTTGACCCCGAGTCAAACAAAGCAAAGAGAAGTTTACTTCCTAACTTACCCATGACCTTCATGGTTGGTAGTGTGGTTGTGTCGGCCAGAGCATGTAGAGTGATTGGAAACTCCTCTTCAGTTCCGTCCGCCTCCTCGTCCGCTTCTTCCCTTCTGAGGAGCTCGATAAAGAACAGTCTCTTGCACTCATGGTTGGGCGTATACTTGTCATCGCAGTGGAAACAAAGGCCCCGTTCTCTTCTTTGCTTCAGCTCTGCGGGCGAAAAACGCCGAACCGCCACACTCTCTGTGTTGCTCGAGAAAGTTCCAGGGGTGGTTGTGTGGGTAAACGTCCCTAGACCCTTCTTCACAAATGGGCTGGGCTTCCATTCTTTTTTCTCCTCTTGGGCCCGGCCCTCATACAAGCGGGCTAGTCTAATGGCCTTAGAAAGGGTCACCGGTCTCCTGGCCCTCACATCTGCCCGGATCTGTTCACGGAGCCCACTGATGAAGCAATCCGCCTCCTGCTTCTCCGTGAGCGAACCAGCTTTGCTTAATAGCTTCTCAAATTGCGCCCGGTATTCTTAGACCGTTCCCTTCTGTCACATCTTGCATAGCTCTCCAATGCATCCTCAAACGAGGTGGAACTGAATTGATCCACTAGTTCTTCTCTGAAGTCCTCCCAAGAAACGGTTCGCCTCATATCCTTTAGTCGACGGAACCATAATTGGGCTTCGTTCTCCAAGTGGAAAGCGGCTAGTCGGACCCTTTCCATCGGCGGAATGTCATAGAATTCAAAGTATTACTCCGCTCGTAGCAACCATGCCGTCAGATCGTCCACTCCATCATCCTTCAGAAAATCCAGCTTGGTGGACCGGGGTTGGAAACCCCCGTTCCCTTCTCCCCGAGCGTGATTTCCCCCAGTAGCCTCCCTCCGTGGTTGGCCCTGATTCACTGAGGTGGACTCTTCCCGAGTCCGGGCCGATTGCGTTAACTCCATCATCTGCCTCAACACCTGCTCCATCCCAGAGCTCAAGGACTCATACTGCTGTTCCAAGCGCTGAATCCTCTCCTCCACCATCGCAACTGGCTCTGATACCAGACTGTTAGGTTCCGGTGGAATTGCAGCTGCTCGACCCCGCCCGCGTCCCCGTAGCTATGGTTCCTGGTCAAGTGGCGCAAAAATAACAGAGGACAACAAGGAAATGCACAAATAGAATTTTGTATTCAAGAATGATCAAAAACGTGAAAACATACATAGGACATATAAATCCCATAACCGAATCTCTCTTTCACTCCCTCTCTACATGATCTCACAGAACCCAACAAACGGTTATAAGTGCTTACCACTTCTCACGCTATCACGATCGCCTATCACCCTAATAAACCAGTAGATCACCAAAAATACAAAAATATAAACTATATGAATACTACCTAGGCCCAATTATAAGGTCCAGCTTTATTTAAGTAGTAATAGTCTCACCAGACTGTAACACACAGCCATAAAGCCGAAGCACAACGGTCTAGACTCTCAATCAAAAGACTACCATCCTACGAATATCCTCCCGACACCAGGACATCAAGATAACATCTTTATATTCTGGTTTTGACAGCCATAACGGTTCAAATGTAACCCGTCGAGACCACTAAATATCCCGATCATCGGAATCACAACCATACTCCAAATCCAAATGAATAGCCCTATGGTCTGACCCAAAAAAATCGGTGTGAAACACTCGAGCATTTTGAAGCAAACTCTTCCATCCCGGATTCACTAAGCATCGGTCCATCCTTTCTTAAACATTATTCAGAAGATCATGACGATTATTCCAAGTCAAGGATGGCCTAATAAATCCCAAATTGACTAGTTCACAATCATTAATAACTTGCCGAAAAGAATTCATTTCATTATAAACTCTGTCACTTCCCCCCACCTTCTCCGAAAAGTGGAGAATTTCATTAAAGTTCCCCGCAACAAGCCAAGGAAAGGAAAACATACCATGAAGATGGCATAACAGCTCCCATGAACTAGCTCGTTTACTCCTATTAAGATGGCCATAAAACCTGGGTATACCTCTAATTCTTCCCATCCGGCATCTGAATAAGAGCATCAATATAGCCTTTAGAAAAACTTTTAATGTCCACCACCCATTCCTTACCCCACATAAGCACCAAACCACGACTCTTACCAACACTTAATCCACATGAAGCCCTCATTCAAAACTCAAACTTCCCTTAAGAGAACTGGCAGCTCAACCACAAAGTTTGGTTTCTAAAATAAAAACCAAACTTGAAGAGAAATTCTGATTAAGCATCCGGAGTTTGTCGGATGCTCGGGGACTCCCCAAACCCCGAGCATTCTGCAGCCTTCGTTTGAGCGCTGCAGCGCAAATCTTCGACGGAAAATGTGTTCGTGTGTTTTAGTGATCTGAAAAGGTCTCGAACCATTGCATCTATTTGTGATATGTTTTCTCACATATCTGAGCACTTATTAACAATAGAAATAACTATTGTTATAAGTGTATCAGCATATAAAAGATAACCATCAAATTGAAAAGGTATCTTTATGTGAAAGGTTGTAACACTTAAAGAGGATGAATACATCCCTGTCTTTATATGATGGACTTCAGAAAATACAAATTGATATACATTGTTCTGGAACTCAATATTTTTACTGAATATTGTGTTTAAGGGTTTTGTTGTATCTTGGGGGTAATTTGCCATTTAGAACTCGTTAGCAAACTTTGAGAAGTGAGGGCAAATAAAACCTTAAAGGAAAGTATGCCTATACGCCTCAAACCTTTCTTTCTGAATTCTCTATTCTTTTCATCCTCCCAAATCCGAATTTACCCAACAACATCAATATTTTTATAGGTGGAGAATTGGCAAGTACCCAATTCTCTCTCTTATTTCAATCACACGATATACGAAATAAATGTAATAAAAAAGAAGTATACAACCAATTACCACAGAAGTTAGAATCATATATATATATATATGTAATAATATCAATCGTTCCACCGAAGACCAAGGACTTGCAAACCAACACGCAAAGTAACATGCATAAGTAATAGTATCTCACAAGCAAGTAGCTTTAGTTAAATATATTGATCGTAGATTACAAATATTCTTAGCCATGTTGATGGTGTCCATGACCATGAGAAGTGGAAGGCCGGGTATTCCCAGGTTCATAACCCGAACCCGAATTAGTACTGACTGGTTCTTCGCGAATTTCCACTTCGTCGTCGATTGTCACTATCCAGTTTGCCCACCAAAAGGGCCTGTAGTCGTAGTGATGGTCTCCTGGCCGTGTTCGTGTTCCTCGACACAGACCGGTGGTGGGACCACAGGTGGCCTTCTCTTCTTCTTCTTCGCCAAACAGAAGAGGCCGACGGCGAGGAAGGCAAGGAAGAAAACACCGCCAAGCGAGACGAACACGGCAATATACACCGTGTTGTGGTTATTATCCGGCGGAGACACTGGTGGTATTGTGCAATTGTACATGCACGGCGGAGGCGGAGGCGGAGGAGGCGTGCAATTATAGTAGCATGGAGTAGGAGGAGGAGGTGGTGGTGGTGGAGGAGGAGGCGGAGGTGGCGTGCAATTGTAGAAGCATGGTGGTGGAGGAGGAGGAGAAGGTGGTTGTGGAGGAGGAGGAGGTGGTGGTGCCGGTGGTGGTGGTGGAGGTGGAGGTAGCGGGCAATTGTAGTAGCATGGTGGTGGTGGTGGTGGTGGTGGTGGTACTGGTAGTGGCGGTGGCGGTGGTGGTGATGTTACATTGTGGCACGGAGGTGGCGGGGGTGGCGGGGGTTTCAAATTAGTCATGTCACAAATTGGAGGAGGAGGGGCTGGTGGCGGAGGAGGAGGTGGAGATGGTGATGGAGGTGGTGGTGGTGGTGGTGGTGGTGGTGGAGGCGGTTTCAGCGGAGATTTGGTCTTCGTGTTGCATTCTGGGGATGGTGGTGGTGGTGGAGGCGGTGGCAGCGGAGATTTGGTCTTGTTGTATCCCGGGGATAGAGGTGGTGGAGGAGAATAGTAAGGATAATTAGTCATATGAGGAGGTATATATTGGTATTTACTATGATGAGGTAGGGATATGAGGTAGTTGTGTGATGTGTGTGGCTCTAGCTATAGCTATTTATAGAACTTCTTGGAAAGTACACGAAGACAAAATTAGTTGAGAAGATCAATCTTGCACTTTTTTTTTTTTTGATAGAATAACACCTTTTTTTTTTTTTCCCGATCGATAAGCAATCTAGCTTTGGATTATCACACACATGTACGTGGTTGGAATTTCTTGAATGCTTTGCAAATTGGCAATAAAGCTTATATTTTTAGCGGTCAGAGTGTATCACATTATATATATATATATCTACGTATATATACCTGTTAGATCACATTTGTTTTAATTATAAGATTGAGATCATGACCAAATTGCAAAATAAAAAACTGATTTCCCATGGGGATGTAGGAAAAAACGGTACGTGGTAGAAGATGTGGAGATTTAGTTCCATTAATCATAATTGACCAGCTCTAATTAGAATTTCCACTAATATATTAGTATCTTACCCGTTAAGTGTTGGCTAGGTGGAGAACAGCCAGTTTGACATTGCTATGCTTTTGAAAATTTTTTCTGTTGTTGTTGTGTTATTAGTTAGAAGTTATTGTGACCAGAAATATGTATGTGCTTAGTAAATTTTTTTCAAAGTTGCTGTGAATATCATAAGTAAAAATTTAGGTGTTTGGTAAACTATATACAAAATTATTGTAAAAATGTAATAATAACTAAAAAATACATACTTTAACACACTACTTATTATTAGTTTTATTTCTATTTTTATAGTATTCATAATATTTATACACCAAAATATTAAAAAATATATTTTTTCATTTTATTAATTAAAATATCTCTAAAAATAAATTGGTTTTATTTAAAGAAAAAAATTATATATCTATAAAGAAATTAAATAATGTAAAAAGAAGTTAAAAATAACCTCCAAAAACAACGCCAAACGATCCTCAAGCTTTGAGATATACTTTAGTCATTTATATTAGCAAATTTATTAAAGAAAACGAGACAATGCCGTGGTATTAATATTCAAACAAGATATTATTATTTTCTCTTTTTCCCGAAAGCATTCTAAGATGTCAAATACTATATGGGGCTGTTTGACAGCCCCTTACTTAAATTAAAAACTCAAAAAAAGTAACTCGAGTTACAACTTTATTTAAGTTCATGTTCTTTTAAGTTTGAACTTAAGTTTGGGACTAAAACTCGAGTTCAAGTTTCCTCTTTAACTCGAGTTCAGAAACTCGAACTCAAATTAATGAACAATAATTTTTCTATTCTTAAAAATGCTATAACTTTTTCGTTTTAATTCTGATTGAGATGATTTTTTTTCTATGCGTTGACAACGAAAAAACGAATAAAACCCCACCCATATACCCTATTAAAATTTTCCATCAGCATTGAGTTTTTATTAAAATACTATCTAAATACAAATTCAAGTTTTGACACACTCAAACACAAACTCAAAAAGATTCTTATCTCAAACCATAACTCAAATGTACACAACCAAACACAAACTTAAGTTACAACTTTAACTCAAGTTATAGCTCAAACTCAACTCAAAATCTACACTCAAGTTACTTAACTCAAAAAGGACAAAAGAACAACCCCTATATTGTTTGAAAGCACTCTAAGATACCTTTTGAAATTAGAGAAAGTATGTGGCCAAATGCCGTACGTAATTTTTATGTCTTCCGATTTATATATGCACGTTGGTCTTCGATTAGTCATTTATATAGCACATTAAAAATTTTAATATTTATGGCATAAATTTGAGGCTGAGTTTTTAAAATGTTTTGTCAAGTTGTTGTTTAATATATATAACCTATACGTAGTATGCTGAATCCATTGGTATTGCGTTTTCGACTGTACAAACTAATTAGTTACGGTCCTTTTCGCGTGTAGATTTTTCCAATTAAGATTAGGAAAATCATATATAGGCGTTGAAATTTTTGTGCTTTTGTTATAAAGCGTTTACTTATTAATTGTGTTATTGGCCAAATTAGCCAACATGCATGACTCAAACTTTTGAGGGCCGCTTCGATTTATGAATTCCTGGTGACCCAAAAGGAGTACTGCTTTAATAAACACGGTTAATAATGCATGTACTTGTGTGCCTTTACTGCGCAGTTCTCAAGTCTTGTATGATATATGTTATATCAAAAAGATTTTTTTGACTAATTAGTTTGTACAGTCGAAAACGCAATACCAATGGATTCAGCATACTACGCATAGATTATATATATTAAACAGCAACTTGACAAAACATTTTTTAACTTCTGCTGGCCACATCTCCACATCATTCATCCTAATCGTGTTTATCTTTATTTTATTTTATTTTTTTTGGTTCATCTTTTCTTATTTTCCTGAGGTTTTTAATGAACTGAAGAGAGACACCCACTCATACCTTATATCTATTACATAAACTTTATTTTTTTTTTATAATATAACTTGCAGACTACGTTGTTACAACGAAAGTTTCACACATGAGTACATAACAATTGAAAATGTCTATGAAATATGATCAATCCAAAAGCTTAATCATTTGAACCTTTTTTTAAAAAAATTGAGAGAAAAAGTACCTTCCTAGTCACATCCTAAATAAGTTGACACGCGAAGAGACCTCCATTCCGAATATTGGGATCTAAGAATTATTTGTGTTATTGCTTATGGTCATGACACACTACTTAAAATTGATAAAGCTGTACAGAAGGTGATGTTGGTCATTCTATCAGAGCGCTTGTCAAAGGACTCTCCGGATAAATAAACAGAAGGTTACTCCTTCACAGCCGTTCAATGCGAGAACTTTCAAAATTCTTGCAGCAATTGTAATGCGATTGGTCACTCTCTTACTAATTGTAGGAGAAATCCTGGCAAGACACACAACGATAATGCTATTATGTAACTAGTCAAAAATGCGCGCGTTAAAACAACAGTTACACAAATCGCCAAAAAAAAAAGAGGAAGAAAAAAGAGAAAGGATAAAAAGAAACAAAGACAAAAGTGGGAAAAAAAGATCTAAAGCAAACAACAGGGGAAAAAGACAAAAAAAAAAAAGAAACTTGGGCGAAATGTTTCGCAACTGAAACTGAAATTTATGATGATCACATGCAAAAAAAAGTTTATGTTAAGACACATTTGGGAATAAATTAATTTAGCAGGTAACTAGAAAAAAAAATATTTTAAATAACCGTAAGAAAAGTATTTAAAGGAGAAATATTTGAAAATATTTAAAAATCAAAGATCAAAAGATGCCCTAAAAAAAGATAAGGTGGGAAAAAGAAGAAAAGAAAAAGAAAAAACTTTTAAAAAAAAAAAGCTAAAAAAACTGAGGCAACGAAATGGAAGGGCATCAAAACCCCCAAGCAACGCAACAATACAAAAAGAATTCACAAGGATTGATGCCCTTTCACATCCTCTGTCCTGATCATCATGTCGTGAGACTTCAGCATCCAATATTAGACCTGATCCGGTGCATGCTGAAAGTCTAGCATCAATTTGGAGGGATCTTATTTGTTGTAATGTCATTGCAGTTTATCAAACCGGATGCTTCACAGGTTATGAATATTATACTATCTTGGCCAGATCTAGTGGATCATTACGTAGTGTTTTGGAGAACGAAATCTTAAAGTGGATAATGATCAACTAGAAATCAACAATCACATACTTGCTCAAAAGACGGAAATTGTTGTTTCGGGTTCTTGAGAAAAATTTGCAGAGCCTGATATATTGAGAGGAAAAAGTTGAATAAAAATCAGGAGAAGAAAAAGTCATCCCATGAGCTTAGAACTCGCAATGAAAAGGGTTCCAAATTGAGAAATCTTAGATTTTTTTTAATCACAGGTTGTTTCTTTGTTGTCTTAGTTTTTTATTTATTTATTTTTATTATTTTTATGTTTTAATTTTGTAAGTATAAAACCTTTTCTTTCTTTTCTTTTTAATAATGCTTAATTGCTTTTGCGAAAAAAAGAGGATATTGTTAACAATGTACTCTAGAATAAATTATATGGATGGTTCAGATAAAAAAGTTAATGATATCTGGCAAATTTGGTGCAATTGAAAAAGATTAATGATCAAACCATCGTTAATTCAGGCATAATCTGGAAGTTCATATATAGTGACTCGGAGAACATTAATGAATTAATGACCAAAACAATATTGTTAGTTCATGTACAATTTAGAGGTCAGTCTATCTGGTTTTTCCAATGTACTTACAATTTATAAACAAGATATTTTAGATGAAATAAATGTGCCTCGGCAATCTTAGACCGCTACAGAAGATAGTGAAAATATAGACTTCGTTTATTTCACAGGGTCAACTCAGTTCAACGTCGAGTACATCTTTAACTTGTGTATGGTAAACATGCAGTCTAAATTATATTTCTCATTCGAACTAAGTTAAACTATTTAACTTAAAATTTAGCTCTCCCGTTAAATTCACCACTTAAATCATTTTTAAATAGTAAAAAAATGCACACTATCTACTTTTCATATCTATTAAATACAAATTCAGATTTTATTCCTTATTCAGATTTAAAATTTACATACACATCCAAACGATGTTCGGACTACAGTTTAAATCACATATATAGTTCAAATTTTTGAGTCAAGTCAACACAATTCAAATAAACAAATTAAAGGGGGTGATAGATCCTTCTGAAGTTTGAAATTTTGAAGCAAACAATGCACTGACAATATTGAACAATGTATAGTTACTTAAAAATTAGGGAGATGTGGTCTTGGAAAATTAGAGAGGAAGATGTGGTCTTGGATTATCGGGATTATAAATTATAGCAGAACTAGATAATTAAGAAGTAATCTGGATGAATAGTTTCTGTCTTAAAAGGGCTTCGAGTGAGGAAGGATTTAAATTGAGGAATTGATAATGTTTTCTCATATCAGGGCTTTTTTTTTTGTAATTTTTTTTTTTATTTTTGTAAAGTTTCCCTCTATTTTTTTAGACCTTCCATGACTTACGTTTGTA